GGTTTTAGTGGTGGGTGGTTGGCCAGTCACACGTCGTAGGGTGTTCAGCCGATTAACGGTATTGGTGGCGGTCGGCGGTGACAACGGGAGTAAAATTAAAGTTTTAAAAGTTTATAATTTTTTTAAGATTTGAAAATATTTAAGTTTTTTTTCTTAAAATGTTTTTTTATTTTTTATTGTAAATAAAAATTTCAAAATTATCAGAACGTGATATGTGTCACTTAACATAAATTTTTAACGGCGGTTAATATTCGGACACTTAATATAGTAACGAAGAAAATGTTAGACACCTATTTTGAACGAAAAATTCTTTAAGCACTAAAACGTTTTTCGTGGCATTGTTGGGACACTTATTTTTGTGTTAAGCCTTTTTTCATATAAAAAGGTTATCCGAAATAAATAATTGCAGTGGTGTGGTAATAATCCAAGTTATTTTGATGCGTGTAGAAAGTAGGAACGGGGATTGCCTGCCTTATCTTATCGAAAAAGAAAAAGAGAAGCATGAAAATCACATGCGAATGTAACTATTATATACGGTCTCTAAGAAGAAACTTGCGGGAAATTTTGACTATAGATACGAAGTATATAGCAGGAAATGATATGATTTGAAGCAATTAGAACAAATTCAAAATAATAGTAATAACTAAAGTTATCATGATCTTTCTAGGAATTAGGAAGGCAAATTTGATCCTATAAAATAAGAAGAGTGTGAAAAAGGCAACACGATGACCGGAGTTGATAAACGGCCGATGAGTAATATCTATAGTAGAAGTGATGGACGGCTGCTATGTATTTTGGGATTTACTAAAATGGAAATATAAAGGAAAGAATTTATTAAACTTGTAATTTTCAATCAAACGGTAATACAAAAGCTTAGCTCTTTAACCCACTATTAGTGGGTTTCTATACTCAAAAATTCAATTTCAACAATCATTCAATATTATCCAACTGAATTAATAACTTGATAATTAACTAATTATAGTTAACTTAATCTTATTCTTTAACACTCTTCAATTGTTCGAATCCTACCACCGTCACTCTTGATACATACGTAAATCTCAATTGGATTTTAGGTATGCCCTGACTCTGGACTGAGAGAATCACTCATGACCTAAATTTTTTTGCACTCTTCAATTCATCAGTGTCGACCCAATAATCTTATCTATTTCTCCCTCGACCTCAATATTTTTTTTCTTTTGCTCAGGACCCTCAATTAGTAACTGTAGCTCAATACCCAAATTAGATGTTGAAATTCACCAACAATCAAGATGATTTTTTCTTTCATACAAATTTTATGTCACATTTTAATGGATTCCAACTTTTTTAACACGAAAGAAAATAAATTTTATTAAATATAATTATTTTATTTTATTAAAACGAAATCTTTCATTTACACCGTTTTTGGGTTTTCGATCGGTTACGAAAGTATGAGGGTTTTAGTGGTGGGTGGTTGGCCAGTCACAAGTCATAGGGTGTTCAGCTGATTAACGACATTGGTGGCGGCCAGATGTGACAACGGGAATAAATTAAAATTTTAAAAGTTTTGAATTTTTTTAAAATTTGAAAAAATTTAATTTTTTTCTTAAAATGTTTTTATTTTTTATTGTAAATAAAAATTTCAAAATTATCAGAATGTGACATGTGTCACTTAACAGAAATTTTTAACGGCGATTAATGTTCGGGCACTTAAAATGGTAACGCAAAAAACGTTAGACACCTATTTTGAGCGAAAAATTCTTTAAGCACTAAAACGTTTTTCGATGCATTGTTCGAACACTTATTTTAGTGTTAACTTTTTTTGATATAAAAAGGTTATCCGAAATAAATAATTGCAGTCGTGTGGTAATAATCCAAGTTATTTTGATGCATGTAGAAAGTAGGAATGGGGATTGCATGCTCTTATCGAAAAAGAAAAAGAGAAGTATGATGTCGCAGTCGCCTTTCGGGTGAGCCTCGAATTGGGCTTCGACTTGAAAAATGTTAGAGCCGCCACCGATCATTTAAAAACATTATTTAGGTTGATCGGACACAATCTTACATGATCTGCGTCTTATCAGAAATATGTCGTATTCGGGAGTCGATTACAGTCAAGGAAAGATTAGCACCCTTGAAGTGTCCTTTCGGTAATTTTCAGTTATCTTAATTAAGAAAAATGTAATTTAAATTGAAAGAAAAAATTTCGATCCAAATTACTTACCTTTAATGTGTTTTAAAAGTGTACCCTTAAAAAGCAAAAAAAATGTTAGATAAAGTAAAATGCAGAATCAAAGGAAAAACGTATGTTAAATTATGATGCTTTAAGTAAACAATATGAGCATTGTGAGGAATTAAAAGAAATAAAATCAAATAAACAAATTACCCATTAAAAAACACAACAAATAAATAAAGTAATGTAAAAAAAGGAAGAAGTTAATTCAATTAAAGGTAAAAGGATTAACTGCAAAATTATTAGAAACAATTACTAGAAAAACTAAATTTAGAAGAGAATAATAAAATAAGCAAAAAAGAAAATAAAATAACAAAAAAAATATTAAGAGAAATAAAGAATAAGGGGGAAAACAAAATTTGAAATAAAAAAGGAAAAAAAGAAACCGAATAAAAGGAAAAAGGTTGACTAAATAAAAAAACAAAATCAAAAAATAAATGAAAATAAATGAAATAAATAATAACAAATCTAAAAAACTACATAAAAAGGGAAAAAAAGAAATAAATAATATATATATATATAATTAAAAGAAATAAAAGAAATAAAATCAAAACAAAATAAAATCAAAAAAAAATTGAAGAGAGAAAAAAAAGAAATAAAATAAAGAAAATAAATAAACAAATAAAAACTAATTAAATTAAAACAAAAATTAAATTAAAGAGGGACTAAATTAGAAGAAAAACAAAATAGAGGGTAAAATTTGACGGCAAATCGGGATTAAAAATTAATTTTGGTGTTCAAAATGAACGTTTTAAAATAATAGGGGACTGAAACTGTAATTCTCCATTTTTAATTGAAAACAAGCGGATCCTGGTTAGGTTGGATCGGGTCACAGGTCGGATCGGGTCACAGGTCGGATCGGTGGGTCACTATAAAACCCAAAAATAACAAACAACATTTCATTTTTTCCATTTCACTCAAACCGATCAAAACCCTTAGCCTCAAATCCTCTCAAATATTCAAAGTGTTCTTCCTGGAAATGAAGAACACAACCGCCAAACCCAGAAACCGGCCGGCCACCGCCTCGCCGGTCGCCGTTCATCGGCGGTGGCAAAAAAATTATTTTTACAGTTTTCGAAAGCTATTCTTCCCCCATCTCAAAAATCCAAATCGTCTTTTCAAAATAGCCTCGGGGAGGGCTATATCTGAGAAAGATCATTCGAATCCCTCCCCTCCGATCATCGACTTTCCTTCCTCTTTTCGATTTTTTGAGTCGAAAAACAACAAGAAATAAAAACAAGAACCACATGCAAGCGAGATAGGCGACCAAGCAAGATAAAAATGGTACCTTTTATTTCGAATGGCTTTCGAAAATTTTACAATTTTTGGCTTCGATTCCCTCGTGTATTTCTAGTATTTTCTCTTTGTATTTCTTCTGTCTCTTTCTCTTGATTTTTACATGTATTTATAATGCTAAAAAATCTATTTTCGTTCGGTTTTAGACTCCTAATAGGACTAAACTACTTGTTTGTTGCTTGTTGGCGTCCCATGAAATCACGTTGCCGGAAAACTCAGGGACGGTGGCCTTGACGTGAGGCGTGAGGAATCTCCTTGCTTGTTTGGCTGCACGGCGCTGAGGAGACGGGCTAGGGTTCAAAAACCCTATATGCTTCGGGTTAGGCCGATTCGGGTCTGAATTGGGCCTCGGGTCGGGTTCCAGATGGATTTGGGTTGCAGTTGTTGGACCGCTTGGGCTTCTGGGTTTGTAACCATTTGTAATGGGTGATGGGATATTGTTTGGGCCTAAAAATAAAATGAAATGTATTAGTTTAATAAAAATCATAATATATACATAAGATATATGTATGCCCTTAAATGGACATAAAAGTGTGTCTACACATGAAAATCACATGCGAATGTAATTACACTACATCAAAATTGGTCTATAGCGGCGATTTTTTTTACTATAACGGCGTTTAAAAACGCCGCTAAAAATATTGTCGGCGTAAAAAAAAGCTCCGCAAAAAACCCCGGTAATACAAACGCCGCAGCTGTTAGTAGCGTTTTTTACTAATAAACGCCGCAACTGTTAGTGGCGTTTTATACTAATAAACGCCGCTAAAAGTTAGGTTATGTAGCGGCATTTGTATATTAAAACGCCGCTAAAGGTCAGGTTATATAACGACGTTTTCTTATACAAACGACGCAACAGATTCGTCATATAACGGCGTTTTTGGGCACAAACGCCGCAATATGTTTTATATTTATAGGCGTTTTCCGCGACAGGTTCGCTATTTAGCGACATTTTTAGTCACAAACACCGCAATAGATTTGATATTTAGCGACGTTTGGGACACAAATGTCGCAGTAGGTTGGTCATTTAGTGACGTTTTTTCCTAAAAACACCGCCAAATATGAACTTCGTAGTGGCATTTTGCCCCTAAAACGCGCTAATCGAAACTGATTTTCAACATATCTTCTTCCTATTTTGTATTAACCAAACTTAACCTGTAACAATATCCAATAACTATCTTAAATTTAATTACGATTCAAATTAAGTAATAATACATAAAAACATAAATAAATCAAAGTTTACAAACATCCAAGTTAAATATAATGTAGTTCAACATTTTTCAATAACATAAACAAAACATTAACCTAAGAAAACACCTAGGATGATGAATTCTTCGTTTGATTCTACTGCATCATCTGCGTCATACCTTCAATTTGATTTTGAAGTTCATATTTTTCTGACTGCATCACAGTCTTTATCCGTAGTATTCAATTACATAATATATACATGGTCCAAGATAGAAAAAAGACGAGGAACATCAAACACCAAAGACTAGATGAGAAAATATGTTGGATTCTAACACTGCATTCAAAATAAATGTTCAAATCAGAAATGATAAGTAGTACATGTCAAGCTTTTATAGGCTTCAATAATAAATTATAAGGAAAATTAGGAAATATTCACAGTAGAGTATTCCATGCAAAATATTAGGTTATAAATACAATAAGAATACAAGAGAAAGGAGAAACTATTCACCAATTTCTGCACTTCTGCTGCAGGGTCATTAGCAAGGCCAAACAAACCATTAAGGTATTTATCCATGGATGTATATAAAGCCTGAAAGAAATCAATGCACAATTCAAGCATTTCCCAAAAAGAATCATGATAACATCCATCACTAGAAGAATATAAATGTTCTAACTTTCAAGTTAACTTACAGAAGTCATCAACATGATATATTGGTTTACAGAACCCAATGACAGCTTTCTCGGAGAAGCATGGGGAGATTGAAAAAACTGCTCATAGAAAAACAGACACAATAAGAAAATTTTAAAAACCTGAATTTAAAAATAAAAAATGTGTTTTACCTGAAATAACCGAGTAAGGAATATGTTGATAGGCCTTTCAGCTAACCCAGGCACATCTGAATCCAGCACTTGAGGTATATCCTCACAAATCTGTACTACAAAAGGAATGGTTGATGTGTTAAAGGTAATTCAAATTCAGCATATAAGCATGTCTTCGACAGAGGGCGTTTGTCAGCTACAACTACATTTAAGTTTGACCCTCAGAATGCAGTAAGACCACCAATAAAAGAAGAAGAGACCATATAGATTAGCTGGTGTAAGTTAACCCATTGACATTCACCAGGATATATTGCTATTCATTAGTGGGAAAATCACCTAAATAATGGAAGCATGTGTCAAAGACCATAGAAAATCAAGGATTCTGCATCAGGAAAACTCCATATATATACCATAATGAAAAAGAAATAACTCGGGAAAGTAGAACTTGTGGGAACCCTCTTCCTGGTAGAATTTCAAGGCAACCTCTCATTGAGTCTTAGAATCTTGTTCCAGCAACAATTCTTGTTTGCATGTAGGCAAATATATTCTAGATGGCCAAAGAATCATTTCATTTATCTCACTAGACAAACTGAGGGAAGAGTAATCCATCTTACACTGAAGTTTTTTGCTTACTAACTTCATATAACTAATGGCGACATTTTCAAATAGCTTTCACACTAAATTACAGTAACACGATTCTATTGATTTATTTTGACTCTTCCAAACCTTAATGGCATAAACTATGTAAAAGCATGAGAAACCATGGTTCAATATTGAATAAACCCGCATGCTTCTATTGGTTTGATTGATTCATTCAACGTTTAATGGCTTAAAGTCTTAAACCATCGTTCTATATTGAATAAACGAAATGGAAGCTTCTCCAAAGTAATATGACAACTTCCATAAAATGATAGCAGAGATTAGAAAATTACTCATCGCATACCTTTGACAATGCATCCATAGCACCTTCCATGTGCTTTATGTCATTGCTATCCAAACAATTTACAAAAGCTTGCAATAACTCAGGCCATCCCACAATCCCCCCTAGTTGAACAACCACAATCCCCCCTAGTTGAATAACCTTCCATGTGTTTATTTGCAGCTCCTAAACAGGGCAATAACTCTGATTTTATATATTGTTGGTATGCAGGAGCCATTATCTTATAAGCAGTTCTTAGATGATTTTTCAGAAGCAAACCAGCAACTTGTCGAATCTCTTCTGATTTACCCTGCATAAATTTATAAAAATGAAACCAAGTTTCATTAGCACATAAAAGAAAACATATTCTCATAGTATATCCAAAGGCATCTGATTTACCCTGCATAAATTAACAAAATGAAACAAATTTCTATTCTCGCATAAAAGAAAACAGATATTCCTAATACATCCAGAGTAAGAACATTGATTTCATGCGTTAGACACCTATACGGGCACAAAACTGTATTTTCAATTTTAAAGGTGTAATTGAATTAAATACCCCGGAATGTAGTCCGTCAAAGAAATGCACAATCTTTGCAAATTCTATTAAGTGTAATTAACCCTACAAAAACCCAATTCTAGTATCGAATAGAAGCGTAATCTAATAAAAAAATAGAAATTCCCCAAAAAGAAAAGAGAACAACAATCGTATCTCCTCCATAAACATATAACCCGATCAATACCCATAATCCAGTTCCTCAAAAAACACTACAAGAAAATAAAATATCTGTAAACTGGTCACCGAAGAAACAAACGGGGATAGAAATGAAGCAAACCTCAGCTCGTGCTAGGATAAAAACGAGATAGTTGTTGAAATCAGGGAACTGAGAGTAGTGCTGAAGTTGTTGCCAAATCTGAGACTTATCAGCCGAAGAAGATGGTGAAATTTTCTGTTCCAGCAGTCCACAGATCTCCTTCAACCCCTCCTTTTGTGGCTGCCACGGGCACTTCCGGTCGCCGCCATTTCTGTAATCAGATTCTGATTCAAATAAATTTTATTATCCGGTTTCGACTTGGCGAACAAATATGGGTTAAAGGAGACGGCGAGAGAGATATACATGTTGCTGACTGGAAACAGGCGGCGTCAAAAGTGCTATCATTTGTGCACAATCAATGAACTAATATCAAATAAGTTAAATTTTATTTTAATCATTCAAAAATTATATACATTTGAAAAGTGTAAAAATTAAAATTGATAAAAATCTTAAGTTAACTTGAGAAGATAATGTGTTTCAAGATAATTTGGAAAGATAATGTGCTTCAAGATAATTTGGAAAGATAATGTGTTTCAAGATAATTTGGGAAGATAATGTGTTTCAGGTTGGTTTCTTTGGTTGAAATATTGTATCCTTGATTATGGTGTTCACTGATTCGATGAATCAACCTTCATACTTTTATTCTGGAAATGTTTACTGGTTTTAAGCCCTCGTGAGCGCCTTTGGACTGTGCAATGTTTATGTATAATATCATCTTCTGTGCAGTGGTTGACAATCTTCATGTTTGAGTTGCCTTTTCAGGTTTTTAACTCGAATTCTTTTTTTGTTTCAAGACGTCATCTAAAATTTTACGTCTTGAACCCTCCTTTTATTATTTTTCCCTATCATGCATTAAAGATTTTAGAAAACTATTATTTTTTTGGCAAATAAAATTAACCCTAAGGGGCGGAATGAAATCTGAAGATAGTCTCTTCACTTAGAAATTCATGTATGATTAGAATGAACTTTTCAGGTACGTAACGTAGTCCGGGGGCTCACGGTTATAAAAGAAATGGATAAATAGGCCCAAACAAGTGTTTAAGGGTTATTGAACCAATGATCAATTCGTTCTGTTGTCTTCAATCTTGTCTTGCTCGATTTGAATTTGCTCGTGTGTCTTTTATTTTATTTTCTTTTGGTGTTCTCTGATCTTCTTGCGAATTGATTCTAAATCTTTGAATCGTCTGTCTTGAAGTGATTGATCGATTTTCTTTATTTTTTTTATCTCTTTTTTTTTCTTTTTTTCTTTCTTTTTCCTCTTTTTTTGCTTTCTTTTTTTTGTGTTTTTCTATATCTCTTCTTTTTCTCTTTGTGTTGTCAACTCGATTTGATCTTTGAGCGGTTCGTATTTGGCCCACTTTGTGATATCTTGTTATTCTTATTATGACTTGCCTCTATAACGAAATCCAGATTGATGATGTTCACTCATACAAGCAGATGTCTTTCACCTTTACCCCCAGTGTGGAGGGTGATCATTTGTTAGGGTTGAATCAGAAGAAAAATATTATAAGCTCAAAAGGGGAAAACAAGGGATATATATATATATACATATATTTGAAAGGATAAATAAAAAAAAGTCGTTCATCATCTCATACATGGAAGTCTTTATAAAAGAGGTATCCCCAGGGGGACGAGTATTCAAGATTAATCTTATTTAATGAAAAAAATGTAATTAATGCATGATAGAATTATTTCAATAATTTTCTTTATCTCATCTTCTTCCATTTGCCCCGAGTATGCCCCAATTATTTGAATTTTCAAAAACTTGATGTGCAACACGCCATCTTGTCTTTCTTGTAGGAATAGTCCTCGTCATGTCCCCAGGATTTATTAAGGTTGGGAAATGAATGTTGGTTCCATGTCTAGGAAGGGAAATGTGTGACTTTACAATCATAATTCTAAAAAATGTAATGTTATGGAAAGGTTATTTATGTCTGGGAAGGTAAAAATACAGGTTTTGATGTCTCGGGGGAATAAGGGCATGACTTTATTGTTTCGAAGGGAGGTGATGTCACAGTTTGGTCTTTTGGTAATGAGCATACGCTGTGTAAGGAAACAAGTAAAGGTGTACGGCTTTAGAGGGAACACAAAAGGTTTAATCTTGCCACTTGTCAAAGATCCATAATTAATGAAGAACTAAAAAAAACCTTTAATTCATTCGATATTAAAAGAATTACAAGATTAAAACTTGATTTATTTCTCATACCCTTGGAAAATAATATAAGTTCAATCAATAAAATATTTATAAAGAAAACAAAGAAAGAACAAAAACACGTTCAAAAAAGACAAAGCCAGTGCCAAAAGGCTTCATGATGGGTGGAAAATTTTCTTTTTAATTGGCCCCAGAATATCTCATTACGAGTTAAAGGTTAATACTCTGGGTCAAACAAAATCTGGGCCTTACTTCTCAGTGCCCCTCGGATCTCGAAGACGTGCTTTGAACTTCAGACGGTGCTAACATCACGTCCATAACTCTTAATCCTTTTTGGTACGAATGGGGTGACTTCTTCTTACCTCAAAAATTTTATCTCGTGACTCTCCGCAAGTTACTCCCTAGATTCGTGATTAATGCACGTTGAGATGCAACATATACCATGTAATGTACAATGTATATATACTAATGAAAAAATTCACATGCAAATGCAAAGATGCAGAAATTGGAGTGCAAAATGCGAGATACAAATGCAACAAGGGATTGATCCCAAAAGTAATTGTTCCTTGAACAATTCTTGAAAAACTGACAATGTCTCGGTACACTGGGGAAGTAAAAATCTAGTCCTTCTATAAGTTGTCCCGCTCCTGCGAGTATCTGGGTACTGCATCGTCTTCAAAGCTTCTACTTCATCTCCTACTTTCAAAAGTTTTTGTCGAGCTGGATAGCGATGTTCAATCGTTGGTTTCAACGTTGTATCTTCTTGAATCCCACTTGTTACCTCAGTAGGTATACGTCCAGCTTCTCAGTAGGTAGACTTTTCCTTGATGTTACTCGATCTACGTAGAGCAACTTCGAATTTCTACTGATCCCAGAGAAAGACGTTGTTGTGGCATTGTTTTCAAGAACCTTCTAAGCGATAAGTTATTTAAGGGATCAATACCTTCGACTAATATGTCATGTTCATAAAAAATGCAACAAGACCATATAAAAGGAAATCAATGTTAGTAGAAACATGAAAAAAATAATCAAGTTAGTTGAAATATGTTGAACTATGTTTTGATATAACAATTTAAAGCAAAATGTTTTTGGACTTGAATTGAATTTGCAAAATGTTTTTGGACTTGAATTGAATTTATTCAAAGTTTTAAAAGGTTTCAAAAATAATTTAAAGTCCATTAAAATTCGAATTTGAGCAAAAATACTACAGGGTACCGATACCCCCCTGCAGGGGTATCCATACCCCCCTGAAGGCTCAAATTCCAGATTGCTCGGAGGGTATCTATACCCCCCCAGGGGTATCTATACCCCCTGGCTGCAACGACTAGTTTAATTTGAATTTGATGAATGAGTATCGATACCCTATGAAGGGGTACCGATACCCCCTATCGTGGGCAGCCTTTTTGAGTAGAAAAATCATCCCCAAACGGCTCCAAAACATCTCCAACGGCTATATACGACTTCAAACTCATTCCAAGCTATAAATACAAGCTAAGGACACTTGAAGAACAAAGAGAACAACCATCCAAGCAATCAAACACAAGAGAAGAGTTTTTCAATTCATATTTCATATTTCTCTTGTAAATATTTGTTCTTGTGAGCTTAATTCTTGTAAACACCTACCTTAGAGAGGTTTATTTGTTTACTTCTTTTATCCTTTGTAAAGGGGAAAGGTTCTAGCTAATCCCTTGTAAAAGCTAGGGAAATGTTCTAGTTTAGCCCGGAAAAACTAGGGAGTTTGTAAGGTTACTCTTTGTCCTCAAAAGAAATAACAAATTAGTGAATTTGTTGGAAAATCCTTGGTGAGGAGCTAATGTAGTGGACGTAGACTTTGGTTGAGAAAGTCGAACCACTATAAATCGCTGTGCAATTTTCTATCTTTAAATCTCCTTACTCCCTAAACACAAAACTGTTTCGACCCCTCTTTGCAAATCGTTCCGGTTGTCGATTTGAGCGTCCAAAAATCCCAACAATTGGTATTAGATCCTAACTCGTTAGAAGGTTTAACCACCTTGAGACGATCCTAGAAGACGCTCTACCAATTCCCGACGCAACCGACAAAAAGATGACTTTTTTCTTCGGTGCTTATTACCTTGAAGATTATCCTATTATGGAGTCACAACCGGTCAACAAGCCACCCTTCTTCAATGAAGCAAATTATGCACATTGGAAGAAAAAGATGATGTACTTTATTCAATCCTACAATCTAGGAGCTTGGAACTCAATCATGGACGGTTACTTCTCTCCACCCGGCAAGTACAACGATTGGAGTAGAGAAGAGCAGAAAAATTTCCAGCTTAATTCTAAGGCTATACATATTCTATTATGTGCTTTAGGCCCAAATGAATATGGAAGAATATCATCTTGTTCCAGTGCCAAAGAGATTTGGGATAAGCTCCAAGTCACTCATGAAGGAACCGACGAAGTGAGGGAATCAAAGAAAAGTCTTCTCAACCATAGCTATGAGAACTTCAAGATGAAACCCGATGAAGACATCAAAGCTATGACGGATAGATTTTTCGTGATTGTCAACGGTCTCAAGGGATATGGAGAAGTAATCCCTAATGAGAAGCTTGTGAGAAAGGTGATCTACTCTCTTCTAAAGGAGTGGCAATCGAAGAAGACGGCCATTATCGAAGCTAAAAACCTAAAGTCTCTCACTCTCGAAGAGCTAATTGGTTCCATTCTCACTCATGAGATGATGGTAAAGGAAGATGAATAAAGGGAAGAGAAGAAAGAGGTATGCGTTGCCTTCAAATCCACCAATGAAAGCTATCAAGAATCAAGTGATGAGGTGGATGAAGAAGACGATGAACAAGAAGAAGATATGGTCAAGCTCTTGAAGGAACTCAAGAGATTCGTGATTTCCAAGGAAGTGAAACATGAATCAACCAAGAAGAAGAGTCCCCCGGTGTGCTTCAATTGTCAAAGAAAGGGGCATGTCAAGTATGAATGTCCTCTTCTAAAGAAAAAGGGGAAGAAGACATTTTTTGCATCTTGGAGCGATGAAGATGATTCCAATGATGAAGATGAAGTAGTCAACCTATGCCTCATGGCCACTCAAGAAGAATTCGAGGTATCTTCTAACTCAAAAGAATTTAATTCATTTACTTTTGATGAGTTA